TCCTACCTTTCATTCTGTTTTATAACTAATTCTTTTTTCCTGCAATATTGCATATGTTAACTAGAAGCCCTGATCTTAACGAAGACCAGCAAGCCAGCGTTCCCAGACCCCGCACATGAGTCTAATCTTCCAATTATGTCCGTGTTACTTTGAAAACTGGTTTATTTCAACAAGTTCAATTTTATGGCTTCCTTACCAAATTATAGAGTGCCGGGTCCAGCGTGTGTCGGGGAGTTCTCTTGTAAAACCGTAGCATGCCATAAACAACGCTCATAAATTGCAGTTTTCCTCTTTATTAACATCCTTTTTCCTGATGATAAAACAGTTAGGTTGCCTGTGCCTCTCTGCCCGGGAGGAGTGTGAAAATGAAGATTTAGGGGGTCTGAACAGAAGTCGCAATAGGAAGGTGTCTGCTTGCCTTTTCAACTGCCAGACACACTTTTATGGAGGCTGTAAATATTGTCAGGTTTTTTTTTTTTGCAGAGAGCCCTCATTGATGCACATAGGTTACCATAGCGCAATCGTACACGTCTGTCAGGTCTAAGCCTGCCCCGTACTCTGCAAAAATCAAAAGAAATTCAGTTAAATAATTAAATATTATAATTTTTGGTAAATAAATAACACTTTGAATATATAGATGAGCAATAGGGTGCGATTGATGGAAGGGTGGTGGATAGACGTCTCGGTGGTACAAATTACTTCGCCCAAGGCCATGTCAAACGGTGTCAGATACACCCCCAGTTGGTGTGAACCCAGTTCACTGACGTTCACTCAAATCCATGCAAAACTGTGACAGATACATCCCCCCCACCCCCACCACCACCTTAGTGTGAACCTGGTTCACTGAAGTTCGCCCAAGCCTGTTCAAAACTGTGACAGATACATCCCCCTTGGTGTGAACCCAGTTCGCTGGATCGGCAATGCTGTGGCCCAGCGCTGCTAGGGCCAGGGCTCCTCCTCGCCTGTCAGTGGCGGCCGATACTCATGTAAGGGTCCCGGCCAGGCCCCTTACATGAGTGTCGGCGGTACCCCCCTGGCGACGGCCCTGCAGATACACCCCCCTTGGTGTGAACCCAGTTCGCTGAAGTTCACCCAAGCCTATGCAAAACTGTAACTTATACATCCCCTTGGTGTGAACCAAGTTCACTGAAGTTCGGCCAAGCCTATACAAAATTGTGACCGATGCACCCCCCTTGTTTTGAACTAGACTTGTGAGCCGTCAAAAAATGTGTTCCGTTTCGGAATATCCGTTATTTCGTATTTCGTAATTCGTATCCGAAACTCAATTCGGATTCGTACGAAATACGTATTTTCGTTAGTTTCGGCACATTTTTGTAACTTTACGAACATTCGTTATGATGAAGTCAAAAAGCAAAAATACCTTTGTTAATATTGGAGACGATGTGGTAGTTGTTTTTTTATCCGAAATACGAATTCCTTTAACGGATTCCGTATCCGAATTTCGTATTTCCTGCCTGTATTGTAATGCAACTCTCAGCAGCAGAAGAGAAAACCTCTGATTGGTCAACCAAAACGAAATACGAATTCCGTTAACGGATTCCGTATCCGAATTTCGTATTTCCTGCCTGTATTGTAATGCAACTCTCAGCAGCAGAAGAGAAAACCTCTGATTGGTCAACCAAAACGAAATACGAATTCCGTTAACGGATTCCGTATCCGAATTTCGTATTTCCTGCCTGTATTGTAATGCAACTCTCAGCAGCAGAAGAGAAAACCTCTGATTGGTCAACCAAAACGAAATACGAATTCCGTTAACGGATTCCGTATCCGAATTTCGTATTTCGGATATAATTCGTAAACTGCAATTCGAATTTCGGATGCTTCCGAATTTACGAATTTCAGGAAAATTCGTACGAATTTCGATTCGTAACGAAACGAATCGCACATGTCTAGTTTGAACCCAGATCAATAAAGTTTGCCCAAGCCTATACAAAACTGTGACTGATGCACCCCCCTTGGTGTGAACCCAGTTCACTGATGTTTGCCCAAGCCCATAAAAAACTGTGACCGACTTTGGGCTTCATTAAGACTACTCACATGCTGAAATGGGAACGCGAATTGGGAATTATATTCTCTGAGCAACAATGGTTGAAAGCCATTCATATTTCCTATACAAGCACCCAATGTGCCTCTCATTAAGAATTCCTTTTTTTTTCTCTAGTTGGTTTGTATAGTTTTGTCTGATACAGGTGTCCCTGAACGCATTATGTCATTTTTTACTGTGTTCTACTCTATATACTGCATCTATGACATAGATTCCAATACATGACCATTTATTAGTATTTACCAACGTGACAGTTATGTATTCAAATACCCTGTATCAAGGCTGTTTTGTCTTCTTTATGTTGAACGATGTATAACAAAAACATTTCAATAAAAGAAATATTGCTGAAAAAAAAAAACTGTGACCGATACACCTCCCTTGGTGTTAAACCAGTTCACTGACGTTTGCCCAAGCCCATACAAAACTGTGACCGATACACCTCCCTTGGTTTGAAACCAGTTCACTGACGTTTGCCCAAGCCCATACAAAACTGTGACCGATACACCTCCCTTGGTGTGAAACCAGTTCACTGACGTTTGCCCAAGCCCATACAAAACTGTGACCGATGCACCTCCCTTGGTGTGAACCCAGTTCACTGACGTTTGCCCAAGCCCATACAAAACTGTGACCGATGCACCTCCCTTGGTGTGAACCCAGTTCACTGACGTTTGCCCAAGCCCATACAAAACTGTGACCAATACATCCCCCTTGGTGTGAACCCTGTTGGCTGAAGTTCTACTATGCGACAACAATGTGATTATTAAAGCGTATATAAACCCAAAAATTAGAATGAATATATTGCCGCTTACCAGTCAGGGTTCTGTTTTTTTACCCCCTTTATTTTTATCTGGTGATCCTGCCAATAACGCATTTCCATACATCCCAACTATCACTCACTCACAGGGACTGTCCATCCCTTGGAAC